AATAAATAAATAAATAGAGCAGAGACAATAAACTCAAGTCTGTAGGAGTGGGAGGACGATTTTAACAAGGACAGGTTTACTGAGTGGAATAATCTGAATATTTCAACAATATTTCACAACATGTCAAAGATAAAATCTTTATACTTTAAACAAAAGTGTAATTTAGACTGAAATAACTAAAGAACCATACTTTGCAAAGGAATCTGGATTTCAGATCCGGATTTCAACTTTTTTTTTTTAGACATTTACATCACAGACAGAAAACAGTCGATTCAGCAGCTTTTGGTGCCAATTAACAGACAACTTTGACCGTGCCAAACAAAAGCAAACTTTGCTGGGACAAAAATACCTAAATCTGTACAATGGTGCATATATATATATATATATATATATATATATATATATATATATATATATATATATAGTGCTTTGCAGAAGTTCNAAATAGAAATATACTTATAGTGCTTTGCAGAAGTTCTTATATTTTGTTTTCTGCAAGTTCCTCAAGTTCAACCAGGGGGGATGAGAAGCATTCATAACCAGCAGTTATCCAGTTTTGGCACAGATTCTAAATTGTCAACATAAACTTTTAGGTTTGTGGTTGTGAAGTTGCAAAATATGTTTAGATGTGGGCCATGTGAAGCACCGGATTGTGGCACCGTTTCCTTTACTGCACAGAAAATATTACTTTAATAAAAAAGAATGATTTTCAAATAGCAGACAAAAAATGCTTTGGTAAAATTACGTCATGGAAAAAGAAAACGTTATACGTCTGAAGAAAGTAGAAAAAATAAACTACTGAATTTTTCATGATCATCAAATGAATTAAATGATTCATAGCATATTTGTGAGCACTTTGGGTTTTTACATGTTCTCATCCAACATGTGGGTCACGTTTGATGCAGCTTCAGCATCCAAATCCATCAGTACAAAAAATAAATTCTGAAACTATAGCGCCCCCTGGTGAAACAAGTACAGTATGTTCTCCAAACCTGCTTATTATTGAAGATCATGTTTACAGCCCAAAGAATGAGGCAGTGACTTAAGAAATTGATTCTGTGGCTTTAATATTTCTAAAAGTTTCACTTTTTATGTTTTACCAAAGGATAAATAAAAGTATGATGTGATTTTTAAATGTCTGACGCTGAATAAAGGTTAAGGGAGTTTTTTTTTGTTTTTGTTTTTTTTTTAGTACTGGTTTCAACATTTTACTGTGGATCCTAAAGCCATTATATTATGTTGCTTAGTGAAAGGTGCTCCATTGTCTCTGTAAAATATACAGATCATCATTCTAGCTGGATGCTTTCATACAACCATTCATGTTTTTTTGTTTTTTTTTTTTTTGTTTTTTTTTTGGAGGGGTTAAAAAAGGATTAACATTTTATAAGGATAAATGTTTGCCCAAAAAAATACATACTTTCAAATGATTTACATGAAGCTATATTTTTGTGGACAATGCAGTTGAGACCAACTTCTAAAAACAAAGGACCTATGCCTAAAGACAGTATGTAAAGTTTTGAAAATAGAGAATATTTTCAGAAAGTTGAACAATATATTTCTCTTTATGGTCATAAAGCCACCTGGCAATGACGTGGGTTTCTCTCAGCATTGCACTAAATGAACACAGAGTGATGGACTGAGGCAAAAAAACAAAACAAAGAAAGTTGTGCAAGGTCACATTTTTTTGGGCTTTAAACAGTCTCACCTGTTTTTCTTATTTACCAAAACACCCTTTTTTTTTGCATTGGGTTTAATTTTTACAGTTCCTGCGAATGTTATGTTTTGCTTTGCTGCACTTTGGCTCTGCATATAAGTCAAGTCTAAATTCCAAAGACAGGAGCCCCACCAGTCCTGCCTTTTCCAGACAGAAACAGCCGATGCTTTCCTGGGCACGTCCTTGAGGCCAACCAAGCAGACGCATCAACATTCCTGATTCCACTGAGAAACTGGATGTTAGAAATACAGATCCAAGGACTCCGTCTGGTTTATTGAGACAGGAAACACAAATCAACTCAAATGTAAACATTCAGTTTATCAAATGCTGCTTTTTCAACCTGTGGGAACTCAAACTCCCCTCCATATTACCCATACAATTGATTGGTTTAGTTAAACTAACAATTTAAATGTTTTATTATAGAAACAGAAAGATTAATAACTTCATATCTAGTTGGGTGAGGGTATCCTAAATTTTTTAAAAGTTTCTTTATATTTTAAAATTGATTACTGAAACTATTTTTGATGCATTTTAATTTAATAACTATTTTGATTGAATAAATCTCACATTTAAAAACATTAAACTCTGGCTCATCTCTCTACACTATATTTTAAATGGAACCAATTGCAAAATGCCTAAAAATGTAATTTGTTATGAATCTTCGCAGGATTTAGTTGAAAAACTTTATATTCGTCGTTTCAGTTTGTGCCAGAACTTGCGGCCATTGTTATTCTGTGTGGGCGTGTTGTGGGCGTTAAACCAGAAACAAACAGAGTCTGCTGAATGTTTTGAACCTTTAATATACAGTGCATCCATAAATCCTTACTAAAACAGGTGGTAAAAACCAAATCAACACAAATAAGTTACACTGTAGTAAAAAGCTCTTGAGATTCCTTTCTGGTTTTAACATTAGTGTGAACCCTATACGAAAATAGCATAGAAAGTATGCAAACATAGAATTCCGTTCATATATATTTCCAATCTTTAGCTAAATAAACATTTCTGCAATTTCCCTTAAACGGCCGATGAAATGAGAAGTTTTTGGCCTCAATTTTCACCCATAAAAATTGTTCTCTGAAACCTTTTTTTAGCCCTGAGCCCCTCCCCTCCCCATCCAAACCCAAACAAGAACCTTGAGACAAGCACAAATAAAAAGGATATAAATTAACATACCAAACGTGAACAGTCTGCAAAACATTTTTTTTTTTTGACCTCACAGATTTCATACACACCGCTAACAAAAACACTCACTCACTCACTCTGTGCATAGACCCAGATTTTTAACTTGTAGAGTAAGCAGAGCTGATACTGCTCCTTCTGCCCCCACCCCCTTTTAAAGGAAACAACCCTTTCACCCATTTGTTGCTGAAGCCGGCTCCGGGCTAAAGGGCTTAACACTGGGATATGTAGCAACAGATGAATCACCGTTACAATGGTCCAACTCAGTGCCTCGTATCAGGTGAACAGGAATAGGGGAATCACAGATCCAAACCGCCTGCTTTGAAAGACGAAACTTAATGTCGGCATTTAAAAGCCTCATTTAATAAAAAAAAAAAATTCTCATCTAAACAGTCATTTGTAACCAAGCCTCTCTGGAACCACCGTGCAAAAATTCAAATGTAGACAGAGATGCTTTCATGTTAGTAATCCAGTCCAGGCTGTAAACGTATTCATCTGAAAAATAATAAAAAAGACAATTCAGAGCAGAAAATGGTTTCATCTCATCTGTTTTAAAGTTTGGAGTTTTTCAGTAAACGATTTACTGTCATCAACAGGTTTTTAAGCGAGCGGAGGAAACATTTGGAAGCAGGTTGCGAGGAACATTTGAGATTTTATCAAATCAAAGTTTAACCTATAGCAAGGATTCTAGGTTGGAAGAATAAAATGTCAAAAAAAGGAAACTAATGTCCGTTTTTCCACGTTTCACATTATCTGAGCTCAGATAATAAGTTTCACTGAAAGGAACTTACTGATAACAGTCTGTAGGGCTACGAAGCTGAGGTAGAAAGCATGAGGCAGAACATTCTAGTTCTAAATTCTAATTTAATTATCACAACTTTCTACTTCTCCGAAGAAATAAAGGTGGTTGATGAAAGTAAATTATTTACTAACAGAAAACCGGAAGCTTCTCTCATAGCGGCTAGCATCAGCTTGGAGGTAGCATCGCCTACTGCTCAGCTGGCTGAAAAAAAGACTCCTGTACTCTTTGATGTTTAGTTCATATTTTTGCTTATATCTGTGGATCAGAACCAACATGAAATATTCATGCTAAATATTAGCATCAATCAATCTGATTATTTTTTACATTACATCCTATTTTTTCTTTGTAGAAATCCCAAATTGTGGCACTTATACCGCGTGATGGTTTGAAAAAAATAGACCAGCCCATGCTTAGATTGGAGTAATGCCTCGTCTCCCACCCCCCACTGAGGAAGCCAATACTGGAGCGTGTTTGGGATCAGATGAGGCTGGTTGTTGTCGTCTCGCTCCAATCCGTAGAGAAATGTGGTTTTGAACGGAACCTCTTATCAGTTAGAGAGCTGACAGAGAACACCCTGCTGAAACAACAGGGGGTGGACTCTTTCTATTGCACAATAGTTTCTGCCTTTTCTTCATTTTTCGGCTCCAGATGAAATAATAATAATAAAAAATAAAATAAATCACATTTATAAACAGGTAGCAAGGAGAAAATCATATGTTTTAAATAAAAGTTGAAAATAAAAGCTTAAAATAAGAGCTTAAAACCGCAGCCAAAAACTAGAATATAACAATAATGTTAATAATGATAATAATAATGATATTATTAATAATTACCAACAATATTCACAAAGAAAAACAACAGGAACCACATTTAACTACAGAGAGGGAAAAATTAAGTTGACCTGTGTTTATATACATGTCCATAAAAAACACCAACAGTGTAAAATTGATTGTCATTTTCAAATGAAATTGTCAAAACATCTAAGGCATAAACAGTTAGGAACAAAGTCCGCTTTATAAAAAAAAAGAAAGAAAGAAAGAAAGGGGGGGGTGATGACGGGGATTCACAGAACCAAAGCTCGGACAAACGGAGAGAACCGATTTCATGCTTCTAGTTTGGCTGTTAGTGCAGCAGAGCGGCGACGGAGGCAGACATGCCACCCATCCTTCCATCTTTTCAACTTCATCCCAACTCTCGGATATCCATCATCCTGACCACAGCGGTCAGGCTGCAGAACAACTAAAGGTGAAGACGGGGGTCCAGTGGGCCTGCCGGAACAGAGCAGGCTAGGACTCAAAGTAGGATTCCACAGGGCGACGCCGGTAGTGGAGGCATGGCTTTGATTTCACCGAGCCCTGTGAGCAAGAGCGCTGACTCTTGAAGAAGCTTTTCAAGCTGAGTAAAGGGGATGTTTGGAAAACGAACTGATCCAGACGCTCGCACGCCTTGGAGCATTGTCTGTTGTTTCCTGTTTCTATAAAAGGAGGGTGAATGTTTCTTCTCTTTACAAGAGAATAAGCTGCCCTGCCTGATAAAACCAGTCTCTCCATCCACCCTAATTCTGCCAGTCCTCGTCCTCGTCGTCCTCACCGCCCGACGAGTTGTCGTTGGCGCTGTCGCCGCCCGCCGGTCGCGTTCCGTTCTGCTGCCTTGATGCCATGGCGGCGGCGGCGGCCTCGGCTGCTGCCGCTCGCTCCTCTGCCTCCTTCAGGCGCAGAGCGGCTGCCTTTTTCTCCTGCTCGGCGTGGCTCTTCATATGAGCGCTGCGGCTCTTCACCTTGTAGAAAATCCTGTAAAAAGAGTCGGTGGAAAGTTAGTTTCTGCAGAGACTGGGGACAGAGCGAGCTATATGCAGGATTTAATGTCTCTCTGCTTTGATTGATTGTTTTTTATGTTTTTTCACACTTCAAAATAAAATTATGGGCATCGTATCAGGAAATCATGTGATTTCTTTATATAAACCCTTAACAGCTTTATGGTATTTTTAAAAGGCATATAGCTTCCTGATTAGGTAACTTCTGAAGGAAATCAATAAGTTGTATCTTATTTAGAGGCATTTCAGTAAAGAGGGGTTGTATACAAATTTATACCCACTTTCTGCGACATTTCATAACAAAATTATGAATTAACCATTCTTGCTTGATCACTAAGCGTTATGTAGAGGCAAAAATGCGGGTTGCAAGAATATTATTAATGAATAAAAAGTTAAGATTGTGAAATCTTAGATTATATAATAGCATGATTTGACTATCAAATATACATGTCAAGCTATAGCAAAAATCGGTAGTGCACAGATCAACCCTGTTGCAGAAACAGGAGGGGCAAAGCATCAACGAATCATCTCTAACGAGGACGCTTTGAGTGTCTAAAGAGCCAAATGCAGCTCTCACCAGGCAGAGCTGCTTCTAGGAGATCTGCTTTATCTGCAGTTGCTAGGACACAGTTGGCAGTAACAGAAGCAGTGTTGCCAGAGGACAAGCTGTTGTTCAGGCAAAGCATGATAGGAAGGCTAATTCTTTCACACACAGACTATGAAACGCTTTACTCTGCTTATGATTCCTACTCCAAGAGGGCAGCAGCAGTATTTCCTGCTGGCTCTACAGTAAACAGGCATCTCTGATCACCGACCTGCCACACTTCTTGCAGGGGAACTCGCCCTCCTGCCCCACGGGAACCTTGTTGCTGGAAGGGGGGCTGGGCTTGCGTGTGTTGCCCTCAAAGCGTGGCTTGGTTTGGGGTGGCTGGGTGTGGTGGATGACTCTGGACAACGGCTGCTCCCTTCCCACCTCCTCCTTGGCCTTCATGATGAGCACCGTCCCGATCTAAACGCAGGCGACAAAGAGACAGAGGCTTGAGTCCACAAAGGGCCCCCGAAGGATTTCTAATTGATGGATGGATAATTGGCTAACTAGGCCAACATTTACTAACTAGGAATGTAAATAAAGTTTAGAAATACAAATATTTCTGCACTTCTTTAGTTTCAATTGTTTTCGATAAAAGCACATTTTACCAGACTGTGTGTAAACATATGTCTAATAATAAACACAGATTTAGCCAAAACAACATATTTATCAAATAAATATAAACAGGAAAGTATAAAAAGTTTTTGCAAAGTTGTTTTTGTCCACAATACAAGGTGCAAATAGAAGAAGGTATTTATAGAAACACCCAGTGGGGGGCAGCAGATCCAACATCTCAGTAGGTCCAAACTCACAGTGAAACCTGTGATGAAATGGAATATGTTGAAAGATATAAAACTGACATGTAGCTTCAGACTTGCTCTATTTACAGTTAAAGCTTTTAGTTCAAGGGTTTAGTGTGAAAAAAGGTTCTTAATGTGATCTTTGGAAAAATGATTAAAAACCATTATGAAACAAAAAGGAGGAAAATCTTCAACGTTCAGTTGTTTTTGTAGAAAAGGAGAAACAATCCCTTAACTCAACAGTTCTAAAGATGTGATTCATTTCTCTCTTATCACATATTTTTCTATTCTGTCCTTTGGTTATCAGCAGTAGAATCCAGGAATGAAAAAACAAATCTTAAATTATTTGAATCCAAATTGACTCATTCAATCTGGTTCAAACCAACTAAAAACAGATTAGGACGCAAAATCGGCAAATAACAGAAATAGATGCTTCGACAATTTTGTTCCTCCTGACTTCTTTTTCTTTTTAATGAAGAAAATCTCCTTCCAATCATCCGTTGATCTTTCTTGTGCATCAATTCAGACCATACAAGCTTCATGCAGAGCTCGTCTCTTCACACTTACATTCTCTGTGGACGGCAGCGTGTGTGTCGCCCCGGTGGGACAAACATCCTGTTTCCTGTCAGCTGAACCATCCCACTTCCTGCTGTCCTCCTCCTGCTGTGGCTCCACTCTCTGAGAGGCCTGTAAGACAAACAGTAAATAAGATGCCCGACTCTGGCAGGTGAGATCCATCTCTCTGATTGTTCATGAAGATATCCGAGTAAGGTCGTCTGCAAACTGAGCTACTCTGGGAGCTAAACACCAAGTCAAACACTATGCACTACACGCAGTCAGGTTAGAGGTAGTTGTCCAAATATAGCTTGGTAATAGAATAATTATCTGGTGAACAGAACAAGGTTAATTTTCCATCTGACCAATGCCTGGTTGGTTAGAAACCCAAAGATTCTATATACACACCGTACTAAGCTCTCAGGTTCCAGTGTTGAAAGCTGCAGCTGAGAGAACAAGACTCAATATTTGCAACTTTCAGTATCAATTCCTCCTGTTTTTTTTTTCTTTTTAAAGAAGAAAATATCCTTCCAATCATCTGTTGATCTTTCTAGTGCATCAATTCAGACCATACAAGCTTAGATGTTTAGAATCCAATACCCCATTTACACTACCCTTGAAAAACCGTGCCGACACCGGTCCGAGCTCAGTAACTGAGATAACTTATAGTGTGTAAATGGAAAGCAAACTGAACCGGACCGAGCTAACTGCAGACCAGTTCCAGAGGTGGGCTCGGCTCGGTTTTTCCCTGGCTCGGTTCTCTGATAACCAGAGCGCATGAGCAGAACGCGTCATCTCCGTCTGGCTGCACATCCCGATTCACACTCCATTCCAGTAGTTGGCGGTAATGCCCCTCTGGAAGTTGCTTGCCAACCAACACAAAACAGAAGAAGAAGAAGAACTATAAACAACAATCGAAATCAAGCATAACTTTCTGAATGTGACGAGCGCCGCCATTTTGATTTGCTTGATTCCCTCCTTCTTTGTCTTCTTCTTGTGTTTTATGGCGGTTGGCAAACAACCTTTGGTGCATTACCGCCACCAACTGCTTGATTTCCTCCTCCTTCTTTGTCTTCTTCTTGTGTTTTATGGCGGTTGGCAAACAACCTTTGGTGCATTACCGCCACCAACTGCTTGATTTCCTCCTTCAATATTGGCAGTAATACCGCAGATCGTCACTAGGAGGCGAGGAGTCGAGGAACAGAGATAGCGTGATGTGTAAACGGTCGTCAGAACCGAGCTCGGCCTGGTTAACTGATCCGAGCTCGGACCGGTCTCGGCACGGATCGGTTTTTCAAGGGTAGAGTAAATGGGGTATAAGTCAGAGAAAGCATAGAAATGAAAATATGTCCTTCATAGAGCGACAAAGAGAGTGAGATTTTCAGCAGACAACAGGAAGGCTGAACGAAACATGCTGTGCTTTGAAATGTCAGCAGCCTTGGTAGGGCTCTTTATTTACCACAAACAAAACAGACTGCTGCTTTAAGTTAATATAATAGCTGAGAGAAAGTGGCTGGATAAGCTGATCGGGAAGTACAGCTCTGATTAGATGTCCTCTGGAAACAAAAGGATCCTAACTAAAATAACATCTCTGTTGGATAATGTTTCCCACCCCATGCATGAAGCTGGTGCTGAACTGGAGAGCTCCTTCAGTGACAGACTGCTGCACCTTAAAGGCACCAGGGAGCGTTATCACAGATCCTTCCTCCCATGCTGCTGTCATTTTTGCACATCTCTGATGTTACTGCTAGTTTTTTTTCACATATGCATTACTGTAAAAATGTCCACATCTGTTTTTGATTTTTATTCTCCAGAAACAGAGTACTTATATTGTAAAAACGCTGTACAGAACAATACTTTGTTTATTATCTTAACTGTTATTTTTATAGACTTTTCTAAGGTGCACGTTTTGCAACAACTTTTGCTATAAGCTTTTGCTGCTGTAACACCACATTTTACCCATTGTGGGACAATAAAGGGATTTTCTATTTCTATTCTATATAGAGTGTCGACTGAAACCTCTCTCACGTTGCTCCTAATATAATAAAAAATCAGTACGGCTCAGAAAAATTCAGATATATGAAATGTACTTCCAATAAGTTCTTCAAAAGGTTAGAAAACTGTTCTATATTAGCATATTCATTTCTGACATCTTTAGCTGTTACAGCTATGATCAGATTTATCTCACCTCAGGTAATGGTTCACAAAAGATTCATCCTGCTTTAGCTTGTATTTGCAGGATTGACTTTTTTTGTTCTACATCAGAATTTAAAAAATCAGTCTTAGAGCTCATGATGCTGTCATAAGACCAACCTTGTGGTCCAGTTCCTCCTCTGCCGTCCTGCTCTCCAAAGGCTCGGCCTCGCCATAAATCAGCGCCCCAGTGCGGCCGATCTTCACGTGTTTCTTATATGTGTAGTAGAACTCCACACACTGCGCCACGGTCTTAGTCGTTACCTGTGGAATTTCAACATTTGTTATCAAAATTGGAGATTTGTGATGCTATAGACCTGTTTATCTCTCAAAATCCCACAGAAACTGTCTCCCTACGCTTGAAATAAATCCAAAAAATATAATCAATAAACTCAAAACCCTTCAATAAACACAAAAGTTAAATAATGAACCTTTGTCTATGGCTTTCGGGACCTGTGGGGTGAGCTGAAGATTATTAAGGAGAGAGCCGTAGGCTCTGAACGATAAAGTTTGTAGGGAGACATTTATTTATAATAAGCAACATTTTATCCAATCAGTAAAAATCAGGGATGTGTGTAAAGCTGAGGCTGCAACAAATATGGCACTGGCTCACCTTTAGCATGGGATAATTTCCTACTGTATGAAATAGATTTAAATTCAAGATGTGAAGTCAGCAAACTTTGTCTTTTTTTTGCACGTTTTGATAAAATAGGACAAAAAATGTTCTGCAGCATATTAAAGCAAAGACAAACCACACAGGCACCACTTTACATTCTGCTGCACCGTGATGGAAAAGCCAAACCCTGCTTGACAATGACAAAGCAACAATCGAAACAGAAACGGAAACGCTGTTCCACATCAACTGTATTTCCCTTTCCTCCGCCCACGCAATGAGCCAACACACAATATATCATGTGTTCCTGTTCCCCGCGGAAGAAGATTAGGTGGCCTTTCATTGCCACTGCGAGAATGAGAAAGTTTCCTCTTTTCTAGATTCAAAGCCCACACAAGCATACCTGCTTTTGCACTTTGAAAAAGTCCTTCTTATACGCAGCCATGCCTTTGTTGAACAGGCGCCTCTCAGCTGCCGTCCAGCTGTCTGATCCTGCAAGGAGGAGGAGGACAGGAGGAGAAGACGGATATTAGAAAATAAACACTTTCAGTCTAGGATTTTTTCTGAATAGGTATGAGGACATGTGGAGACAGCTATAAGTTGGGCTTTATCCCCTAAAACTTTAACACCAACAAAACAAACAATTGCTCACCACATGCTATGTCTTCTGCAGCCATATAGGCACCAGCCCCCCTCCACTGCTGCAGAGATACATAAACAGGGGGTTGCATGGATTGATTACCTGAGTAATGGTAGCTGGATAGATGATGGGTCTTGGGGAAGATCGGATCCCTCAGCATCAGCAGAGACAGTGCGGCCTGAGAGAAAAAAAAAGTAGCATTTCAATGTTTTCTGGCTGCATGTTTGGAAAACGGGACTAAGGGACAATAAGCTGGGTTAACCAACAGCTTTTTTTGCTCACAAACACTACAAATCCAAACTGGGAGAAAAAGAGGGAACCAAATCCATTCTCTTTCAGAAAAACCATCTGAAGATCGGCTTTTGAGTCGGACTGCTGCAAAGAGTGGGCGCTTTGGCTGCCCCCCCCCTCTCTTTCATGGTTACCTAGACAACATTGGACCGATGCTGGTCGCTAGGGCCTGAAATCTTGTCCTGCAGCACCATAAAACACTCCGACAACCCAGGATCAGGCAGTAAGGACGTTCGGCATGGACATCCGAGTACAGAGTTAAGATCTCATTATTAACCACTTCACCCACAATGACCTGCTGTTCTGTTCTTATGTCATAAACTTACATACAAGGTTTCCATATGACAAAATCCAACGAGATTAGAGTTTTCTATTAGCTCAGTTTAAGAAGACAGTTAATATTACAGTCATAAGGCATGGTGATGGAAGCGTCATACTGGGAACACTTTTCTCCAGCAGAGAGAGAGAAGCAGGTCAGTGTCGATAATTAAATCAAGCTCCATTCAGGTGATCCTGGAGGAAAACCTTGAAAATGGGAAAGAGGTGAATATAAACCCTATATGGAACAGAAGACCTGGTCATTTCATTAAGGTCTGTTTAATCCCAGAAGTGTCAAAACCATTGAATATTAGTCCAATCAAAGTTTAGATTTGCATCAATCGAGAAGTATTGGCAAAACATCCAAACTCCTTTTTGCAAAAACTCTGAATCCAACAGGATTTCATAAATCAGAGTAAAAGAGTGCAATAAAAATGCCCAAAAGTCTTTTCAGATTTATTTATTTTTTTAACAACAAGTCACTTTCCTCCTGCTTCGGAGCTATACGCCACTTTGTTTAGGTCTAACAAGTAAAAAACATCAGATTTTGCTGAAACCAAACCAGAAACAGACTAAATATGTAAGAATATCTTTAAAAGGTTCAGTAAATTGTGTTACATCTGAATAATATCGCCATGGGGAAAGTACCTCATTTACCAATAACCGTCCTTCGACCTCGTTACAAGCACTGAACTATTTCCTCCAGTCGGGTTGCAGTGAACTGCACTCACATACAGCTTGATTTATTCAGGCAACATTAAATATTTTATATAGCGGTTCGACTCTAGCCTCTGATGTCAATAAAGGACTTATTGTGATGCAATCAAGAGGCAAAGGATGGCTAGCTTCTGCAGCATGGGTGGAGAACTTATTAGTCTGGTCTGATTCATGAGCCTTAAGAACAGAAACATTTTAGGATTACTTTGACCATGAATGAGGTCAGTTTGTTGTTCACAAATCTGTAGAACTGAGACCCGCCTTTCACTAAGATGGCATACATGTGGCACAGCATAAAAATTCCCTTACTCACCATCAGTTTTTGATCTAGTTTCACTGTTTGAACTAAAAGCTGAAATGTTTGTTTCAGCTCTTGCAGCACATGTCGCTCTGCAGAGGAGCATCGGCGTGCCACGGGCTATAAACAACCAAACAGGTTTACTATCAGTCATCTCTGATCACCACAGAGCTTCAGCACAAAGCAAAGTGAAAATCTATAGATCAGTCACTTCCGTTCAACAACCAGCAAAACTCATTTAAGGATGGTCAGCGCTCACATTTACATGCAGACAAGAAAGACGACATGAGAATTGAATAAATCTACTACATCTGTTGGGTGCATGAAAACAGATGTAGTAGAATGATCAAAACCTCACATCAGAATGCGGCTGCTTAGCTTGGGATTGGAAACTAAAGTATGGAAATGTCCAACTTTAAATTTGTTTGATTTGCTAAACGTCTTTTGATAAACAACAAAAAATAAACATTTTAATTCATGTGAATGCCTTCATTTTAAGAAATCTGTACTAAAATACTAAGAAAAACATGTTGGTGAAGTAATAATAAATCATTCCAAATACCGGTAAATTAGATCCAAATGGAAAAACAGCTTAACCACCATTTATTTTGTTTTTAAATTCTCCCCATCTTGTGTACACATTCCAACAGATTTCATTGGGATTTGATCTGAAGCAGGATTAGGGAAAAAGATAAAATGACACATGGTTTCTAAATGTTCTTAGAAATAACTTAAAAGTGTAGCATGCATTTGTAGCGAGCCCCGTTAAACCTGACACCTATAAATACAATGCAACAATCTGCATTTAACAAAGAAGTCAGTAGGAATGCACGATATAATGGGCCCCCTATCGGTATCGGCCTTAAAACTGAATATCGGACATCGGCCACCCCACCGATATTTAACCCGATATTTGATCAGCTTCTGAGTTTCTAAAGTCTAAAAAAATAAATACTACTTCTTCTTCTTCCTCAAAAACTTCTTTTTTACAGACTTAAAAACTTCTAAAGACGAGGGAAAAAATATTGATACATTAAAATATCCCAATATCTTCATATGCTGATATATTGCCATTTAAAAACACCATATCAATCTCTTTTACTAATGAAATATTGCTATATTTCATCGCTATGCTACGAAATCCCCCGAAAATTCACGAAATGTTGCCATATTTTTATATGTTGATATATTGACGCGGTATCGATCTATTTTAGTAACAAAATCTCACAAGAATTTGCAAAATATCACGAGAGTTTGTAACAGAACGATGAAATTTCACGAGATTTTGAAAGTAAAACAGATCGATACCGCGATTTTAAAAATCTATTTGATATCAGCATATGAAAATATATTTGAGTATATTATTTTCCAAAGTGTCAGAAATGGATAACAAAACTGCTATTTTCAATGACTACTTATTTTTGTCCAGCTTTAACATCGGTATCGATATCGGTTATCGGCTACATGAGTTTTAAAATATCGGCATATCGGATATCGGCTAAAATCCCAATATCGTGCATCCCTAGAAGTCAGTGTATTAATTTAATCTCAGAATAAATAGAGTTGCTTTGCAGAATTAAATCAAGATAATCTTTGTTCCCTTTTGTCAGTGTTGCCACTTTTTCTCTATTTCTAGATTCAGACTGAGGATATTTTAGACATGTAGATTCTATGCATTCATTACATGGCTGCAATAAGCAGAGCAACTCTGTGGGAACCTCCCTGAGAATTCAATTCAATTCAGTTTATTTATATAGCACCAATTCACAACACATGTTTTCTCAAGACACTTTCCAGTTCACCAGATCGTACAGTCAGATTGATTCAAAGTTTTCTATCTAAGGAAAACCAGGAGGAGAACTGCCTTTAACCTTCATAGACAAAAATAAACACTTTCTGCATCGGTGGAAAAGCTCTTCGCTCTGCTGTGAGAAGGTTAGGCTATTTTTCCGCTGTGCATTCAGTCAGTATGGATAACTCACCATTATGTCCCCTTTGCTCTCGTACAAACAGTGGTGCGCCAATTCCTGGTTGGTGCCTCCTCCATATAACACACTGGAACAGGCCAGGTGCATGAGGACTTCCACTGAAAGAGACGTCAACAAGTTATTGTTAACCACAGCTGCATTATCATGGTTTATTAAACCCTGTATCCATGATAAAAGATGCTTCCTATGCTTTATACTTAACAATAAAATATTAAAGTTTTGACGTCAAGTCATTTTTATATAGGAATAATGAGCTTAGAAAGAGAGACACTGAATATCCAACCATTCTACAAGAGCAGTAGAAACTGATTTGTTATTATTGGCGTGTTTTTTTTTCTCACCCTTGTCCTTAAAGTCTGGTTTTTCCTCCAGTTCAGAGGGCGGGGCCCAAACAAGTTCTGCTCGATGGCGATCCAGCTCCACAGCTGACCTCTGCCTCAGCTCTGGTACCTCTGCTTGGTACCGTGACCCGATGTTTATCCGTCTGGGTGGGGGGGATGAGATACAATTAATATTGGAATTTTAAAAATATCATTACAAAAACCAGCTTTTTAAAAACGGCCTGTTGTTCATATCTACGCCAATTTCGCTGTTTGTGTTCGAATGCAAAATTCAAAAATTCATATATTGAAATAATAGGTATCTTTTTTTTTTTCTTCTCTCTTTTCTCTGGCTTTTACATGAAGTTTTGTCGCTCCTGGATGCTGAAATAGCTTGTGCAGCGCTGCAAGTTGGACTATACTATAAAACATCACTAGTCCTACGGAAGTGTAGACAGTGAGGTGAAAGTGGATTTCAGTGATTGGCCCAAAGCTAAAAGGACGACCATAAAGACAGGTCTACTGCAAACAGACACTGAAGATAAGCTCCCAAAAGACTGAGGCTCTTAAAAATAAAGCTAGACTTTTAGAGCAGTTGAATGTGTCTCTTTTGTTGTTTAAAAATATATTAGGCTATTTTATTATGAATGTTTCTTGTTAAAGAGATTTTTTAACGTTTAAGTCCACACATCTTATGCTCTGTGGTATTCTGCACTTTAAAGATTCATCTCGGTGTCACTTTTTAAACACCACAATGTATTAAATAAATACAAATGCTGGGAACCAATTCTTTTTGACATTTCTTTAATATTTTGTTCTATTCAGCTACACAAGCATCCTCTTTAAACTACTAAGAATGGTACTATAAATGTGACTTTACTCGATTCTTTTTTTCTTTTTCTTTTTTTAATAAAATAAATGAAAAAATTTAAGAAAATAAAAATAAATAAATAAATTAAAAAAAAGAAATAATAGTTTTAATTACAAATAAAACACTTTATTAATCCTAAAGGAATATTAAATAAACCTTAAAACAATCTTTCTTATTCTGGTGAGGAACTATGCAAAACAATGCAAAGGGGTTCAAGAATACCAACTATACTTCAAAATGTGTATTTTTCCACAATAATCTACATTCTCCCTTCCTCTCCTGCATTTCCCACTAAGTGCATATGAGTCAGTGTACACTAGGAGCCCCTTGAGGGAAGGTAGGCCAGCGTGAGCCAAACTGCAACAGCTCTAGTGCATTTAGGAGACCAAAGCCAAAGCATGAATGGAGGAAAGTCTCACTACTCTGTGTCAAAGTCACCATCAAGCAGATGGCATCAGTCAGGCCAAGGCTAGAAAAATGCAACACCGTAAATTGCTGCTCTTTGTTGATGTGACGACAAACACAACCCCACCATCCTGACATGCCTGCTAAACATTTTACATCTCAGCTGACAAAAGGTTGGGTTTAAAAAGATGCCTGCTTCTAATAAGCTTCAAAAGAAGCAGCAAAATAGATCCGTCTAAACACTTCATGAGAACATCCGTACTGCGATGAGAAATCATTGAGCAGAGAAGCAGCGAGGGGCTGATGATCTGAAACATCCAACTGCTTTGAACCGCTTAGAACAAAACTCTGAACTGAGCTCTAAATATTTGCTCTGCTTGTTCTGTTTTGTGCTCAGCTAACAGAGGGCGAAGGGATGAACTGATCAGATATTCCTAATAAGAGGTCATTACTGTAACATGGTAGGCATATAGAATAGGTTCATCAGCTTCACTTTGCGGCTCACAACTTTTCAAAGCTCATTTCAAGGTCCAGTTCTGATGCAAAATGGAGCAAACTGTGAAGCGGTGGTACTTGGTAGGAGTAAAGTCGGATTAAACTGCAGGTTTAGAATTTGAACAACCAGTGTTTTCTTCTTCGACACCCTTTATGACTCAATCATGTTTGTTTTGAGTAATTAATGACAGGGCTTTTCCTCCAGCTGGGATAATGCAAGAGTCAGACGGGCCAAATTGTTTGCTTGAAAGTACCAGGCGGCCCTCAAAGCGCTCGTTTCCAGAAATAAAGAAGGGACTCACGGTTCGATGCTGACTGGAGTGGTCTCACTCATGGCGGACAGCACCGGCGGCGTGATGTCACAGCTGTCTAAAAGGTGAAAAAAAGTAAATATACAACCATTAACAGAACTACTGCCTTTTCTCCCTGCCATACTGTATCAGAGCAGAGGTTATTGTGATTTTATCGTATCTTATACCTCAAAGGCTACAAAAAGAACTATGAAAAAAGATTTTTTTTTTTGTAAATAAATGTTTACAACAAAAGAGATGATGTTTTTATAAGGGTATTGGGAACTCAGAAGTTTGGTGGATATTTTTTTAACTCACTGGAACGCAACAGGCTGCGAGTTGCTGATTTGGGAGTGGCGGGAGGGGGCAGGCCAGGACCGCCGGCTGCAGCCGACGACAGGAAGGTGGAGAAGTAGAGGCCCGAGCCTTCCCGAACGGGACTGAGGATCGGCGGCGGCGTGTACGGGGGCATCGTGATCGGGTTGTCGGCGAGGCGAACCGGAGAGCGGAGGTGACTCTGGTAGGGGGTGATGCTGGAGTAGACGGGCGGGGCGATGAAGAAACTAGGTTTAGGCGGCGGGATGAAGAGAGGCTCTGGTCGGGGGCGCCGTTTGGACTTCTTGCCGTCATCGTCCCTCTCTCCCTCTGTGCCATCGTTCTGTAGGGCAGAGATGAAACACTGATGAGATCTGTGAGACTACAAGGTTGAGACAAAAAAAGGACCTAAAAGAAGGAAGGCTGATGATTTAGCTTTCAACAAAGAACTTCCCTTTAAATGTATGGTACACAATGTACAGCATCAAAGAGCTTCTAATCTGCTTGATCTGGGACAGGGCATCCAGTTCACCAAACCCCCCAGCTGAATGTGGGAACGGGAGAACATGGGGGAGGGACAACATTCGGCACAGCAGGGGGGGAAGGGACAGTGTCTGGGGGGCACGGTGCCATGAATTCAAGGATTTACAGCTGGAATTAAAACAGATGAAATCCGAGACTGATGAAGATATCAGGACGCCGGATTATTCCCCACAGTCCTGAGGGACGGCTTCAGCTTTTTATTTTTTAATCAATAAAATGAATCTAAAAGAAATGATGAACAAAAAAAGTAGAGATTATCGCCCACCTGCTCTGAGCTTTCCGACAAAGAGTTTCGAAGAGAGCGTCTGCGGGTGACGATGACAGAGGGCTTGTGATCGGCGCGGCCCAGGTCCTGGTGGTTGGAAGGCCTGTTAGGCCAGCTGGGCGTCAGAGCCACGCCGTCCCTATCCGGGGACGAGGCTTCCTGTCTCCGAACGGGAACAGATACGGGGATGACAAGCGGGAGGAGGCTGTCGTCTCGGGGCCGCTTGCCGTTCATGCCGTCCGTGGCGGGACTCCACGGCCTGTGAGGCTCCTGAACAAAACAGCAGATAAACAGTCATGCCGGTTGTTAGGGCTGCTTTCCCTCATGACATGAGATAGATTCAAGATTGATACAGATGCTTCACAAGCCTTAAAATACATTAATCTCCAACAGCAGTGGCACATATACATATGGGGAGAATTCAGAATTAAAGTAAAAATCTGTTCATTATTTTACTAATCCCGGTATTTTAATGATGCAATTCAACTAAATAAGGCTCTTATGGTCTTTAGAAGAGAAGCAGCCCACAGCATGACTCAGCCTTTACATATTGTAACTCCTTATTTCCCTGTGAACTGGCTCTTCTCTCTCATCTATGAAGAAAAAGGTTTAGAAATTTGTGAGTTTCTGGTCTGAAGTTTCCCCAGAATCCAATTTAATTAACAAAATACAAAAACATTTAGAAATTGTTGTTTTACCAGCGAATTTAAGCTTCTATAACAGCAAACCCCCTTGTATCTACCTGTAGGTATTGTGAAGGATGTATGATGCTGTGGGCCTCTATCCATTGATCTACTTTTCCCATTTCTCTCTATCACAATAAAAGACTCAGTTGACCCAATAAACACCTGTAAATCATTACAGATGAGCACAAAACTGCAGAACGCACCAACTTGAACAGAGTACAGAAACGCGTTTAACTCCAGACATCTTTGGGTGCAGATTGTTGCCACGGTGATGTTGATCTCAGTCAGCTACAAGGAAATTGAGTTTCATTACTTTAATAATCATCTACCAGCAGTGAGATTCCTTCAGTTACTCTGGTTTGATCAAAGTTCACTTTCTGCCAGCGTTAAATGACCAAGACTATATATTACTAACACATTTTCAACTGAGTAAAACGACAAAATGGAAGCAGAAAGGCGATACATGGGAAAGAAATAGAAACTGGAGAAGTAAACTGACTACAGTTATTTTCATATCTATTGTTCACCATCTCCATGTTTTTGTTCTTCTCATTATTTGATCATAATTTCTGCTTTATTATCATTATATTATTGATATTATATTATAACTTAGCATTCTTAAATCCCTGATTCCTAGATGTAGCGATTTAAAGGAAAATTCCGGTTTTTAACACTTTTAGCCCATTTTCTGTAGTGTCCAGGATGAAATCGAATGATCGACACCAAAATTTAAAAATTGGTCCTGTCTCTGCTTTTTGGCTCAT